AGCTAACGCGTCTTTGGACCATATTTAACGCTCTGTTTAAAGTCTGACTAATAATTATCAAGACATTAATTGTACCGATAATCGCACATTAATGAAACGCAATAAATAAGACGTTTGATATCTTTCACATATATATGAAAGATAGAATTTTCAGAATACGAATGGATGTATGGTTGTCCGACTTTTCGAGTTTTCTAAAGTTCCGGCACACTGTGCAAATCGAGATGTGCATCCTTATTCACACAAGTATTAACCTCTTCGCTGTTTTGCCAACGCGAGCACAAAATATCGAAATTTAATGAAACAACTGCAGACAGCTGAGATCGTTCTGAGAATTGTTATCTAATTTGAAACTTGCGTAAGGATAAACAGAGATTACAGGATAATCTTGAGAGAAATGAAGAACACGTGGATTCAATGTTGCAAGTAAAATTTCATCTATGTATGTAATAACTAGACAGCGAATTTTCATGATATGTATATAAAAACGCATATGAAAATAGAATATACTTTATAGAGTATTTTTTTTTATTCAGATTCTTTCATTCTTTGAAACATAAGTTTATATAACTATTCCTCGCTCAATTTCTTCTGGATCATGTCAACCATGTCTTTCGATCGTTGCTTCGTTTTTCTTTCGTTTTATTTCAATTTTAGCAATTGCACTGTTGATTTTCCTCTTCATCCAGACCGAAGCCCTTCATTCCTTGAATTATTTCACATTCTTATTCCACATTCTTCGAAATCGTTACATATAAACATCACAATGAATTCAATCTAAAATTCCAAAGAAGAAGTATTGAAGTTCGAACTAGATCTGATTCATCTGAAAATAATAGAGCGCCTGTAGAGCACAAAGAGCCGGAGTGCGATCATAAAATTCATTGCTTTTACTGCGAGAACATGTTTTGCGACTCTTTTCACGCAATTTAATGTTCGGCGGAGCACTGTGTGCACTTTTAAGCCAGGCGAAGCGCTTGTGAACTATATAAATAGATTATTATTTGTTATTCCACCGGTATATTCATGAAAGAATTGTTAATATGCAAGTTTGCCACGCTTTAATTGTATATTCTAATCGCGCATTTTCACGCGGAAACAAATGAGTGAAAGAGTGTCATTAGGAGGGTGTGTTGCCGAAAGGAAATCAATTTGATTTTCAATTTGCAGTAACACCAATTTGGTTTTCACCACGACGCAAGGTCGTATATCGTGATTGCGAAAATTACTATCTTCACTATCATCGAGTGATTTAAGTTGTTGTAACTGCAAGAATGAATAAATACTATTAACAAACGAGTGAAATTGAATGAAAAAAAAAAAAAAAAAAAAAATGATACAGCAAAGAACACAAGCTTTCACTTGTATATTTTGTAAAACCGTTCGCACAAAAGTTTCTGCGAAAAATTACAAAAGTTACTCGTTCTAACTATTCTGATGATTGAAGGAGAAACTACATTGATCTTGCAATAAATTGTACCAGTTTCTAAAATCAGCGAATGTCTTGAAAGCGACAAGCGTCGTCAAAATTCAGCACAAGATGAATCTGCCAAAATGACCTAGATCAATAGCCAAAGATGATTGATCAGCCAGAGTGTCTGCAACTCGCAACGTAATACAACAAAATCTCTCTCACATTAGACATTAAACGTTAGGCAAAATCTGGCGTCACCGAGATGTACGACTCGCATCTCGACAGTGATAACAAAACGTAGGAGCGTTGATTGATCCCTCTCGCGAGAAAAGGCACGGACAATCGGTTTTCAGGGAGGTCCACGTGCGGAAGATTTATTTCGGAGCGGTAAGCCGCGTCCCGGTGCCAAATCAAGCAAACTGTTGCCACTCTCGCGCGAATTGATATTTCTGGCAAGCGTGAAGCGGTCCATAGCCGGCTGAAATCGGTAAGGAATGCCGAGTCGATCAAAATAGACTGAAAGATCGACGCCGATCGAAGGGACCGAAGACGGATGCCAAGCGTTGTCCCGAACATGTTCTCGCGAGAAGAGAATTCTTTGCAAATTCTTTTTTTTTTCAAATGCTGTACACCGAAAAAAAAAAAAAAAACAACGCGATCTGGTCTTACAACCAATCAGGAGGACAAGGGGAAAAGAGAGTATCGGGGCTTACTTACGCGTCGCGAGTAAGTGTCCGTAATTTTCTGGAAACGTAATTCTCTCGTATAGCTCTCGCTCTCGGCCGCTCGCGGTTATCGTTATTCCCGCGCGTGATTACAGCTACGGTTAATGCCACTCGGTACGCGATACGATTATTTAGAACAGCTCGGCGGTCTGTCATTACCACCGTTGGAGAAATTTCACCGGGGCAATATTCGGTACCGAGAATGATTTCATTCCCGCGCGGGAAAAATACAGCCTCCGGTCATTATGCGATCGAGGGTGGATGGAACGAGTTTCAACGTTGTACTTTTCGCTCGAAAAATATTCCCTCCACGGTGGTGGAGATGAAAGCACCAGTGGTGGACGAAAGGAAGTTTAAAATTGTCTATCTGATGTTTTATACTTTATACGTGTACATATATATATACATGTACACACACATGAATTAATAATTTTCATACTGGACATTAATGATAATCATCGGTTCTTGTGTAAATTCGAATGTAAATTTGTTTTATAGAAATTGATTTTTAAGCCTATGCTTAGTGATCGTTGTACAATGAGTAATTTGTTTCATCTGTTGAACATTCAATTCTCAATAATTCTGTACATTACACGTATCGAAGAAATGTGAAAAGAAAGAATCTACGAAATTTCCATGAGGAATGATGAGTCGTTCGTTCTTTTGTAATATCAGTAACAAGCATTTGAAAGCATATGAGCAGACAGACAATACGAATAAAATGTTATTAATCCTTCATTAGCAATTAGTGAACTTTATCACAAAATGCATATCACCATTACTTTTCGATTACCTGCGACGTTTAAAAAAATAGTTGGCGCTGTAGCTCTTCGAAAATTTTAATCAAAGTATCTGCGGAGCAGCGGCACCGCGCTCCACGCGGAAGTTAGATCGATACGTAACGCGAGCTCGTGCCGGCGGAAATCACCAAAAACAACAAGCCGCGAAGAACAACGCAAGTAAAACTCGCTCGTTCACGAGTTTCGAATTCTCGAATCTTACTACTATCGTGGTGCTCCGCGTGGTGGCCGAAGAACGACCGAAGGAATTCGCGAAAACTTGACCGATTCGAACTCGAGCTGGAACTTTCGACTGGGATAGTGCACACTCGCTCGGATAATTTCGCCAGAACGACGAATTTTTTTTTTTTTTTTTTTT